TCTACATATATACATATCCTATTAGTTTGGGGTGTTTTTTTGTTTGGTTTTTAAGAGAATTTTTATGAGTTTTTTTGTTGGTTTTATTGTTTATTTATTACAGTTGTTCCAGCTTTCCACCTTCGACCCTTCTCCACCCAGACCGCCTTCCACTCCCCACACTATAGTCAGTTTCCATGGGTCCTTCCTATATGTTCTTTGACTAATCCCTTCACCTTCTTTCAAACAGTCCTCGCCTCCCTCCTCCCCTCTTACCATTGCCAGTCTATTCCATGATTCTCTGCCTCTGGTTTCTTTTTGCTCATTAGTTTGTTGTGTTCATTATATCCCCTTATAAGTGAGATCATATGGTATCTGCTTTTCACCAACTGGCCTATTTCACTTAGCATAAGGACCTCCAGTTTCATCCATGCTGTCATAAAAGATAGGAATTTATTCTTTCTTTCTGCTGTGTAGTATTCCTTTGTGTAGATGTACCACAATTTTTCAATCACTTCATTTAAGGATGGGCACTTAAGCTGTTTCCAATACTTGGCTATCATAAATAGCACTGCTGTGAACATAGGGGTGAATAATTTCTTTTGAATTGGTGTTTCAGGATATTAGGGTATATTTCCAGCAGTAGAATTGCTGGGTCAAAAGGAAGTTCCACTTTTAGTTTTTTGAAGAAATCCCATACTGTTTTCCACAGTGGCTGCACTGGCTTGCATTCCCACCAACAGTGTACCAGGGTTCTCTTTTCTCCACATCCTTGCCAGCACTTGTTGTTTGTTGATTGATTAATGATTGTTATTTTGTCAGGTGTGAAATGATACATCACTGTGGTTTTAATTTATATCTCTCTGATAGCTAGTGATGTTGAGCATTATTTACGTGTCTATGGGCCATCTGTATGTCCTCCTTGAAAAGTGTCTTTTCAGGTCCATTGCTCATTTTTTAATTGGGTTGTTTGTCTTCCTGGTGTTGAGTTATACAAGTTTGTTTTATATTTTGGAGATCAAACATTTGATGTATCATTGGCAAATATGTTCTCCTTAGTGCACTGTTGGTGGAAATGCAGACTGGTTGCAGCCACTGTGGAAAACAGTGTGACATTTCCTCAGAAAACAAAAAATGAAACTGCCTTTTCACCTGGCAATTCCATTGCTGGGATTATACTCTAAAAATCCTGAAACACCAATTCCAAAGAACCTAGGTACCCCAGTGTTCACAGCAGCACAATTTAAAATAGCCAAGTGCTGGAAGCAACCTAAGTGCCTGCCAGTAAATGAGTGGATAAAAAAACTATTGTACATTTACACCATGGAATACTACACAGCAGAAAGAAAGAAGGAGCTCCTACCCTTTGTGACAGCATGGATGAAACTGGAGAGCATTAGATTAAGTGAAGTAAGCCAGTCAGTAAAAAACAAATACTATATGATCTCACCTATAAGTGGAAGCTAATCAACAAAACAAACAAGCAAGCAAAATATAACCAGAGACATTGAAATAAAGAACAAACTGACAGTAACCAGAGGGGAGGGGGAAGGAGGAAACATGGGGTCAGGGGAAGGCCACCAAGGAACATGTATAAAGGACACATGGACAAAGCCAAAAGGGAATAGGAATGAGGGTGCGAGGTGGGGATGCCTTGGGCAGGGGGAGCAGTGGGGGGAAATGAAGACAACTGTATTTGAACAACGATACAAAAAGAAAAGGAAAAAAGGCAAAAAGAAAAAGACCAGAACAAAGCAAAGCATTCTTTCTCACCATTTCTATTCAATGTTGTACTGGAAGTCCTACCGAATACAGTATGACAAGAAAAGGAAGATAAAGGTGCACAATTGGAAGGAAGAAATAAAAGTATCACTTTTTAGAGACAACATGATTGCCTTTTGATCAGGGACATTTTCTTTGAACAATCAAATGGGCCAGGAGTGGACATATTCAGTCCAGTGAGAGACAAGTGGCATAAAAATTGTAGTCAGAGAATAACACTGCTGAGTGGGGAAACTCCCCTTCTACAAAAAGGGCTGTTAAGTAGAACTTTCCAGTGTTGATATATCAGTCATGTTGCAGTAATGGAAACAGAAGCCACTTCAGTTTGTTGACACATGCTTTTGTACAGTTGATGGAGGAAGCTGCATAATGCATTTATACAGCTGAGACAGAAGCAGGACTCATGAAGCAATCCAGGGAGAAGCAACAACTCTGGCTGAAGGACAAGTCATAAAGCAACCATATAAAATTCCAGAAGACTGGGCCTCATTGCATATACTGATGTCAAATAGAGCCTATATTGTAAAGTTGGAGTAGTGCGGAAGATGAGTTTGTTCCCAGATACCACCTGAGAATCAAAAGAGGTAGAGGAACCTGAAATTGTCCTTTCCTCCTACTCTTGATTTTCACCCAGTGCCTGCTTCATTAGCTGGTCCCAGCAGGCAGCCAGCTGAACTGGAGAGGGGGAATACAGTGCCCTGGCTGCCATTCCCACTGCAACAGGGAACAGCAGGAAAGGGAGCAAAATGATCTTAAAGCCCACCAGGCAAAAGCCAGCAATATGTCCACCCCAGATACTGTTGTTAGAGACAGAGAAAAGTATCACGGGAAAAGGGCAGAGAGGGGGGAGACTGGCAGCAGTTGGAAGAAAGGGAGACCATCAGTTGGATTGCAGATGCTTTCTCCTTCGATGGAGAAAGAAAGAAACAGACAGAGAGAAAACATTGATGTGAGAGAGAAACGTTGATCATTTGATTTCTGTATATCCTTCCTTATCAAGGATTGAACCCACAACCTAGTTCCGAAAGCTCACATTTTGAGATCAGTTTTGGGCTGGATTATTTTTCCCCGAGGAATCTTTCCATGTCTTGCAGGTGTTTATTTCAAAATTCGGATGGCCACGGGCAAGTGAAGATGGAGGCAGAAGGCATTTCATGAGTGAGGGGAAATTTAGAAACATCAACAAGCACAGCAGGTGTAGCAATATATTCTGCAAAACCAGCTACAAGGAGCTGGCCTTGCTCTGTTTCCATCACCAATACCTTCACCATCATTGCTTTTTTTGCTATAAAAGGACTTGCAGCCAGACCCTGTAAAGTCAAGTTCCAGAGTCACCCGTACAAAACCTGGTTAGAATCACTGGCAAGGAAGCCTACTTGTTTCTCCAGGTTTATCCAAACTCTCTTTGTGTTTTTTTCTACACTTACAGAGGATATGAAGAGCTAAAAAGGTACATAGTTTCCAGTTTAAAAAGTTGGAATTCCCAGAGATAGGTGGTCATTTTAATGTACAAAAGTTACCTTTTTTTTTATTTGAAATACTGAGGTAGAAATAGACTTGACTCAAATATCCTTTTGATAAAAAATGTGGAATGGAATTTTTTTTAAAAGGGCAGAGAAAAATTCATGAGATCATTTTTAAACAAGATTATTGACTTCTGATAATCACTCAAACCTAAGATAAGAAATCATTTTGGGTATTAGTAGGGTCAGGAATATTTTGGATTAGCTGTGTTTTGGGACTCAGATTCAGAGCTATAAAGGCCAAGCCCTGCTCTGTGAAGGAGCTTGCCCATGGTACCTGCTTCCCCAACCGAGAGCCTTGCCTCAGCCCAGTAATGTGATCTTTCTACCTAGGAACTTGTCTGTGTTCTGGTTCCGTGGTTCCCAAGAACACAGCACTCTCTGCAAAACTCTTTACTCTTTTGACCATGAGTAATAAAAAAGACATGTATGCCACTAGTCATAAACAAATGTTATACATATTTATTCATCTTATTATTCAACTGTTTATTTATCCTATCAATCACCATGTACCCTGGGTTTTGCCATGCTTAAATGTTGTCATTTTTTTAAAGATTTTATTTATTTATCTTTACAGGGGAAGGGGGGAAGGAAAGAGGGAGAGAAACATCAATGTATGGTTGCCTTTCATGCGTCCCCTGCTGGGAACTGGCCTGCAGGGAACCGGCCTGCAACCCTGGTATGTGCCCTGACTGGAAATGTTGTCATTTTTGATCCTTAAGACTCAATAATGAATATTTCCTCAAGAAACAAGTAATTATATTTTTACATAATTAGAATTAGATTGAAGCTAAATTTAGAAAAGGACCATTGGTTTCTACTCTGAGTCTTAATCACTACCCACTAAAGAAATATTTATTTGCAGTATTTATTACTCCCTAAATAATATTACTTATTTTTATTTCTTTTATAATGTCTCCATAAAGTATAAACTGCATGAGGACAAGGTCCTTACTTTTTTCTGTTCACAAAACACAGAACAATGGCAGGTAGAGCATGAGAATTTAGCAAAGATGTAAATAATTGAAACTGAGTATTCCTTAATAAGTGTTCAAATAGATGTGTGAATAAATTAAGTACTTTGGAAGTCTTTTTCTTGTACGTCATCAATTCAGAGTGTTTTTAAGGGGTTAAAACAGATATTTCTATAGAAAAGCTGGCTTTTCCATTACACCCTACCATTGAGTTGGCTACATGTGCATTACTGGGTGGTATCTCTCCTAAAAAATATCATTTTTCCTCTGAACATGTGAAGTCACAGCTGGATGGAGCAGCTCAAAATCTCCAGTGGTGACATGTTAACATCCCCACAGAGGCACAGAGACTGTGCCACCCACGGTCACAAGTCAGGGGCCGCCACCAGAAAAGTTTCTGTTGTTCTGCCAGCCTAGAAATCACCTTAGAGACATTAGTCTAGTGTCTAAAAAACAAACTATTTATTTCCTCCAAACTTTGGAGTGTTAATAGAATTTTAACTGTTAGAAAACTCATTGACTTGTCAACCTTCAGTTTTTCCAGAAGATGGTTTTTAGTGCACTTTGTAACTAAGCACACTAGGAGGAAATATCCATAAAATTATGCAATGGTTCCTGTCTTCAGATGAGTTTTCCTTTTATATAAAAACAAATACAAGATGCCTGCTAAGTGTGCCTGGGCCAAAATGACATTTGAATCTGAATCCCGTGTGCCCCTACTTTGACAGAGACTGAACAGTGATCGACGTAAACATAATTTATTTACTAATCAGATCATAACAATAGAATAGGCTGTATAACAAACTCATAGAAGATTCATGTACTACAAGTTTCCTTATACGGATTTTACAGACATCAGCAGTTGTAGCTCCTGCTGAACCAAAACATGACCCTGACCACAAGAAACTGGGCAAGTGTCAATGACTCATATCAGAACCAGCAGAGATGCTGCCTGCGTGTCCTGTTCCCAGATATCAGCAGTGAAACTGTGGACAGAACAGTGAAACTACATGATGATGTACACAAGAGGTAGCACTGAAACCACCCAAAAGCAGAGCTGAGAAACTGCACTTCACCAGAAAGTGAGGTTCACCAGAAAGTGAACTGTTCCTTAGTTCCTTCTTACCACGGTTCCTGTTTGTTCTAGCCAGGATGCCTGAGATACTGAGATGGACTTTGACGCAAGAGTCTCCCACCTTCCTGAATAAAACCACTGGCACCTGAATAAAACCACTTTACATCAGCACCTGCCTCTTGAGTATTAGCTTTTAAAATAGCAGGCAGCTGGACCTGCATTCAGACGCAAGACTGTGATGTCTTTTCCATAACTGGTATCACTGACAACTTGTCAAAAGTCATCAAATTGCTTGAGCATTTCCATTTCCCCAGAACACAGGTACCAAGTAAATGGGCAGAGGTCCCCTTAGAGGAGGAATGGGAAAATTGTTATCATTATTCCTTGTTCCAGAGTTGCAGGGCTCTTTGCCTTGGGATGCTGGCACACTGATCTCAAACTAACAGCCTCTAGGACTGGGAGAAATAAATGTTTATTGTCTATGCCACTCAATACATGGCAATTTGCCATAGCAGCCTGAGCTAAGATAAACCACAATGCTCATTACTGTCATTGTACGTACTTGGTTTCTGATATTGAAGTGCCAACACCTGGCCTCCATGTGTGAAGATTTATCATCCCCTGCACTAGCTGCGGTATCCAGTCCTGCAATGGCACAGGTCCCTTCTGGCTCTTGCCTACAGCAAAGAGGCCACCACTGCACTTTTAAGATGATAGAATCCCTCTCACCAGTGCATATTCTTATGTTTAGTAGTTTAAATTTCACACCTTAAAAGTGTAGTTCAGAGATAGGCAAAAGAGGATAAGTTAGCAGGGCCCTCAAAGGGCAACATAAAAGTTTATATCTTAGTTTTGAAATAAATATAGAGGATCAAGACTCAAGGCTAAAACAAAAACAAGATGAGGATTCGAATTTTAGGTTTTGTAGTATTCTGATCTTGGAGCAGACTAATATCATTTCTAGAAACAATGAACAATTTCATCATCTAATAGCCAACTTCACATTTTCTTCTTATTATTTATATTAGTATTGCATTTTAATTTTTCTTTCTTTATTTTAAATTTTATTTAAAATGTTAACATAAGCTTTCTTTATAAAATTCAAAATCTACAACTTATAATGAAAAGCATGTATGTTTTCCAGCCCTGATCATATCAGTCCTATCCAGAGAAACCAATGTTGCTTGCTTCTAATGAATCATTACAGAAACATTCATGTCTATTTATGAATGCACACAATAATTACATTTATTTACATTAAACACATTATACAGGCTGTTTTGTACTTCATTTTTTTCTCTGTGTGACATATTTTGAAGATTGTTCTATGTTGGTACAAATAGAGTACCACCCCCAACTTATTTACTGGCTACATAATATTCCAGTACATGTACATGATAAATTTATTAAAGATTTTATTTATTTTAATTTTAGACAGGGGGAAGGGAAGAAGAAAGAGAGGGAGAAAAACATCAGTGTGTGGTTGCCCCTCATGCACCACCCCCCAACTGGGGACCTGGTCTGCAACCCAGGCATGTGCCCTGACTGGGAACCAAACCTCGATCCTCTGGTGCTTTTTTATATTTGCCTCCCCAGGGTAAAATGTTGTCTCTAGATAATGCTGCTCCTCCCCCGTCACCTGCTGGCTGTAACTTTAGCCAAGTCATTTTAATCTGTCTCTGCCTCTCAGTTCAGAGGTGTATATACAAAAAAATAAGCCAGAGCATATATCTACATTTTATAATTTCATTAAATGAAGAACTAGATCTTTTTAAATAGTGAGCTCACTCTTGTCATAATATTACCAACAGATTTAGCAAACAATATTTGAATGATCTCCTTGATAATTATATTCAAGGTTTCTGAAATAAAGTGACTGTCCTTTTCAGTTTTAATCATATTTCTCAACTGATTTATCTCTGCATTCATCTCTTCAGATTTCTCTCTAGACTGTTCAGCAAGCAGATCTTCTTGTACCTAAAAAGAAGAAGAAGAAGAAGAAGAAGAAGAAGAAGAAGAAGAAAAAGAAGAAGAAGAAGAAAAGAGAAAACTTTTTAAATCCCCATTTTTTCCCAAAAATACATTTTGTATTAAAGTGTTTGGTCAAATTATCTCTCTTTTGGTCCTAAAAGTGTTCTCTCAACTAAATCAAAGATAATTTTTTTATCAAGAACTAGCTCTTGCCTCAAACCTGAACGTTGAGAGGAAGCAGAATTTATAGCTTCATCAATATTCCTACAACCATTAGGGATTTGCTAGAATGCTAACCCTGACATGAGGACACATGTAGTATGTTCTGGTCAAATAACGACAGTTGAGATTTAGCCTTTATCTGCTTGGATTAATTTTTAGTCTCACTTGAGATGTGTTATGGTCACTGAAATTGGAGAAGTAATGGGAACTTACACATTGTTCTAGAAATTTGCTATAATCATGTCCAGAGAGACAATGAGAGAATTCCCCCTAAGCTACATGATAACCTGGGAGGACCACAAGAGAAAATAATAAAGCAAATTTGGAAGCAGTTCCTTCCCTGTGTTTTGAAGTCTGGACACTTCTGATAGCTTATTGTCACCATAGAATCCCACAGAGCCTGATAATTGGCAGTGATCTTGATAAAGCAAAGCAGTTACTGGTTCCAATAAACACACTGTTTGAAAGGCCTATTTAAACAGGCATCATAAGATCATTTCAAAATCTCCAAAAATAACAGCTCAAATTCTATTTGTATTCTCCAAGGGAAATGGAGGGACCATGCCCATTCTAAAGTCTCAAGAGTCAAAATATAGTATAAAATTCAAAATGCTCTTAACAAAAATTTAAAAGAAAGCTTTAAAAAATTCAAAATTTTAGTAAATCAGAAGTAGTAAATGTGCTACCTTCTATGATATTCCACCTTCTCCATCCCACCTGAGGGCCCAGGACAATGACCTTTGAGCATTACTGATCACGGCAGGACTTACCTTCAGTTTATGCTCCAACATCATATTCTGCTCTCTTATTGTGTTCTCTCTTTCTCGCTCCAGCTTCTCCTTCAGCTGAGCTATGTTTTCCTCGAGACTCCTCCTCTGGGCCTCCAGCTGTTGCTCCTCATCCTGCAGTTTCTGTTTCATCAGCTCCTGCTCCTTCTCAGCAGCCTGCTTCCTGGCCCGCTCCTCTGCCCCAGGGAGGTTTGAGAGAGGCAAGAAAATTCAGTGAAGTCTGATCTCTACCCTCCTGAGCTCAGAGACCAAACCAGAGGAGAGGTAGGAAATCTCTGAAATGTCCCCCTTGACCACACCATCAACAGCATAGTTCAGAATGTCATGGGAAAGGCCCTGACTGGCTGATGTCCCTGTGTTGTTCTCAGATTTTGAAGAATCTGTTACACACACACACACACACACACACACACACACACACACACACACAAGCTCCTTGTTTTGGGAAACCTGTCAAGGACACTGCAAGAAACTGCCCTGCCCCATACCTGCCATGGCCTTCTCCCCATCTGTGAGTGCTTTGTCTGCCTGCAGGATGGATTTCTCTATGGCCATCTGTGACTGCAGGAAGCTCTGGAGGACCTCATTCGCCTAGAGAAACCAGGAGGAGCAAAGAGCTTCGATTTCCACTGGGAAGAATAATGCACCAAGAACAAGTAAGTCCATGGACTTTTTCCTTCATGACTAAAACTGTATCGTGGGTCCACACACAGTGTCCAGGCTCCTTAGAGTGACCAGAGGTTCTCCATACCCCCTGCCTCCTGTCTCCCTCCTGTCTCTCTCCCAGTGCTCCTTCATTCCCACACTCTAGGTTCCAGCCTCTGAGAACCATGGTCAGTCCTACAGACCCACTGTCTGGTGCTTTTTTATCTATATTTGCTTCCCCAGGGTGGAATATCTCTAGTTAACACTGTTCCTCTCCTCTGCCACTTGCTGGCTGTAACTTTAGGCAAGTCATTTTAGCTTATCTCTGCCTCTCAGCTCAGATGTGTAAAATGTTCACAAAATGTATAGATATTTCTTCATTCTATCTGAAGGATTACATTTAAAAGTCTATGGAAAGAACTTAACACTAGGGTTATTATAATAATAACAGTTCAATGTATATTAGTTTTACTATAAATATCATTATTGCTTTTTAATATTATTACATGTTGCCATCACCTATGTAGCCAACTTTTCACGTTCATGAGTATTATAACGCTGTACAATTAATTATCTATTGGCTTCCTTTCTTACTTTTATCAGGTTTAAAGCCAAAGAGTCAGACTTGAAGTTGTAAATCATCAACATTTGGCACATTAAATGTCAAGTTGCTGAATGAAGAGATGAATAATTTCTGTGCTGCCTGTTGCAGAATTCAGAAATCCACCCTCATTTGAAATCTAATATTTCTACTCTACTTAGGAAGAAAGGCATCTAATAGGACTTAAAGACTAAAACAGTCATAATATCCCCAGGCTCTCATATTACCCAAAGCAAGGACTGTGCCCTCAGACTTTCAGGAGACCCTCCTGACTTTCATCTGTAGGACCCCCATGCTCCCATATTCCTCACCTTCACTCCTTTCCTGGGCACTTTGTAATAGTCCCCTTCAATCCTTTCCTTTGTTTCCAAGTAGAGCTTGTGACCCCCAGGAACAGAGAAAGTTCCTGCTGAAATACTTTCCACGAGGGCCACTGAAAGCTGATCAAGGGTAGCCTGGCAGTACTTAACAGATTCCTCTTCATTCTGCAGGATGAAGTCATCCTTCTTATCCTTTATGATTTCCTGCAAGGGAAGTATAGAGGGATGTCACCAGAAGAAAGAAACAAAAGAGAAAAAATTCCAAAGAATCTGGCAGAAAGACATCTGGATGTGGTCTTTGTGATCAAAGTTTTCTGTTCCTGAAAGACATGGAATAAATGTGAAACCATAACTCTTGATTTATTCACAAACATGAAAACTCTCTACAAGACTTGGAGAAGCATCTCAACCTCTCTGGGTCTCAGGTGTTTTGCCTGAAAAGTTGTAGTTGCATTATTTAATCTCCTTGAAGCTGTAGCATTCAGTGATTCTATGTTTAATGACACAATTATACAAAAGGAGCAACAGAAGGTGGAAAGGGCCTGGAACGAGGGTCTAATAAGAAAATTTTGGTACCTGGGAATGGAGATATGTTACAAAAAGTGACCAGTTTAGGAATGACCTTTGGGTCATCCCTAGGGTATTCTGGGCAGGCTTGAAATCCACACAAGTATTCACTTCAGGTGATATCTATGCTGATTAGGCACCAGGGATCAGAGAGTTTTGTGATAAAGTACATGAGCTTTGGGGGAATTACAGAAGTAATTCTCAAGAGTCATCTAAAACACTATTCCTCATGATAAATTCACACTACTTGATCCATGAGTGAGAGAGGAAAAATGGAGTCATTAAAAGCACTTATAGGCATCATTCTTCAAAGGGAATGGCCACAAAGGGTAAACAAGTACTAAGACAAATACCACAAGCTTCTTCTGGAACTCCCTCTGCTCATCCTTGAAGGACTTCTCCATGAAAATCGCAATTGCTTCCCTCTCACAGGCCGCGTGCAGGTCCAGCAGCTCCTGGAGCGTGTCTGTGGGGAACCTCACTCGCTGGGCCATCTGCTCGCTGTAGTGGTCGGCTGCCTTCTGCACAGCCGCTGAGTTCTCGATCTGGGCCAGAGTTGTCACTGCATTCTCCAAACAAGGCACTGCTCCACTGTTGATGGTGTTCACATAATTCACCACCAGAGTCTGTAGCCCTAATAAGCCAGGAAATTTAAGGGGAAATATCAAGTTATCGCTCAACAAATTGAAGTATATGAGACTATATTTCCGAATCACGCACATATGTACATCCTATTCCTTCTACTATCATCCCTTTCGTCTTCCTACTGACTATTCATTTGTATGGTTCTTCCAGACACAGGACTAAAAATTAAATATCTACCTTCATCTAACATATAAAAATTTATCTGGAGAACATAATTTCCTATTTAAAAATTAAAAGCAGCGACCACCAGGGACTGGACACCGGGGAGTCAGGTACGGAAACCGGGACACTCCAAACCCCTGTGACGGCCCTGGGCAGCAGAGGAGCCAGCTACAGGAGCCGGGACATTCCCAGCCCCTGTGCTGCTGCCATAGTAATGGGCCTGGGTGATTGAGGAGGCGGCTACTAGAGTCGGGACATTCAGCAGTGGTAGGTGACCAGAGCAGGGACCAGCGCGAGGACCAGCATGAGAGTACGTGGAGACGAAGAACATCAAGAAACTTCAAGGAGTCTGCACCACTGAACTTCACAAGGATCATACCACAAAAGTTCACACCATAAAACCAGGCTTGCAGAACAGATCAATTTTAGAAGCAGAGACTAACAAGAAGATTCTCAAACGATGGGAAGACAAAGAAACAATCCCCAAATGAAAGAAAAGGCAGAAACTTCAGAAAAAATGTTAGATGAAGTAGAGGCTAATCAACTATCAGATAGTGAATTCAAAGCACTGGTTATTACGAAGTTCAAAGAGCTCACAGTGAACTACCAGAAACTACCAGAAGATAAACAAAATAGACAAGCCTTTAAGTAGGCTCATCAAGAAGAGAGAAGACACAAATAAACACAATCAGAAATGAAAAGAGGAGAGATTACAACTGATACCACAGAAATAGAAGGGATTGTAAGAAATTACTATGAAGAACTGTATGCCAAGAAATTTGAAAACCTAGGGGAAATGGACACATTTCTGGAAAAATACAATCTTCCAAAACTCAATGAAAAAGAAGCAGAAAATCTAAACACACCAATAACAGCAAAAGAAATTGAAGCAGTAATCAAAAAACTCCCATCACACAAAAGCCCTGGACCAGATGGTTTCACAGGAGAATTCTACAAAGCATTTAAGGAAGAGCTAACCCCTATTCTCCACAGACTATTCCAAAAAATCCAGAAGGATGGAAAACTCCCAAATTCTTTTTATGAAGCCAGCATCATCTTAATTCCAAAACCAGATAGAGACACAACAAAGAAAGAAAACTTCAGGCCAATATCGCTGATGAACATAGATGCTAAAATCCTCAACAAAATATTAGCAAATCGCATCCAACAATATATCAAAAAGATCATACACCACGACCAAGTGGGATTTATCCCAGGAATGCAAGGATGGTTCAATATTCGCAAATCAATCAGTAAATGTAATACATCACATAAACAAAAGCAAAGACAAAAATCACATGATCATATCAATAGATGTGGAAAAAGCTTTCGATAAGGTACAACACCCATTTATGATAAAAACACTCAGCAAAGTGGGAATACAGGGAGCATTTCTCAAAATAATAAAGGCCATATATGAGAGACCTACAGCCAATATCATACTCAATGGGCAAAAACTAAAAGCTTTTCCACTAAGATCAGGAACAAGACAAGGATGCCCACTTTCACCACTTCTATTCAATATAGTATTGGAAGTTTTAGCCACAGCGATCAGGCAAGAAAAGGAAATAAAAGGCATCCAAATAAGAAAGGAGGAAGCAAAACTGTCACTGTTTGCAGATGACATGATAGTGTACATGGAAAATCCTATAGACTCTACCCAAAAACTGCTCGAACTAATTAATGAATTTGGCAAAACAGCAGTTTACAAGGTCAATATCCAGAAATCAAAGGCATTTTTGTATACCAACAATGAATCAGCAGAAGCAGAGATCAAGAAAAAAATCCCATTCGATATAGCAAAAAGAAAAATAAAATATCTGGGAATAAACCTAACTAAGGAGGTAAAAAACCTGTATGCAGAAAACTGCACAGCCCTGAAGAAAGAAATCAAGGAAGACACAAACAAATGGAAACATATACCTTGCTCATGGATTGGAAGAATTAACATCATCAAAATGTCCATACTACCCAAAGCAATATACAGATTCAATGCAATACCTATTAAAGTACCAATGGCATATTTCACAGACATAGAACAAACACTTCAAAAATTTATATGGAACCATAAACAAGCCCGAATAGCAGCTGCTCTTTTGAGAAAGAAGAACAAAGTAGGATGGATCACAATACCTGATATCAAACTGTATTACAAGGCCACTGTAATCAAAACAGCCTGGTACTGGCATAAAAACAGGCACATAGGCCAATGGAACAGAACAGAGAGCCCAGAAATCAACCCAACTCTCTACAGTCAATTAATATTCGACAAAGGGGGCAGTAACATAAAATGGAGTAAAGATAGCCTCTGCAACAAATGGTGTTGGGAGAACTGGACAGCTACGTGCAAAAAAATGAAACTTGAGCACAGACTGACACCATACACCAAAATAAATTCGAGGTGGATAAAAGACTTAAATGTAAACCGTCACACCATTAAAGTCCTAGAGGAGAACATCGGCAAGAAAATCTCAGATATTTCATGCAGCAACTTTTTTACTGATATGTCCCCTAGAGCAAGGAATATAAAGGAAAGAATAAACAAATGGGATCTCATCAAAATAAAAAGCTTCTGCGTGGCGAAAGAAAACAGTATTAAATTAGCAAGACAACCAACTGTATGGGAAAACATATTTGCCAATGATACCTCAGACAAAGGTTTAATCTCCAAAATATACAAAGAACTGACACGACTCCACTCTAAGAAGACACCAAACCCAATTAAAAAATGGGAAAAGGACTTGAACAAACACTTCTCCAAGGAAGACATACAGAACATTCAGAGACACATGAAGAGATGCTCAATATCGTTAGGTATCAGAGAGATGCAAATTAAAATCACAATGAGATACCACTTTACACCAGTCAGGATGGCTATCATAAACAAAGCAACAAACAACAAATGTTGGAGAGGTTGTGGGGAAAAGGGGTCCTTAGTCCACTGTTGGTGAGATTGCAGACTGGTACAACCATTATGGAAAACAGTATAGAATTTTCTCAGAAAAATAAAAATCGACCTGCCTTTTGACCCAGCAATTCCACTGCTGGGATTACATCCTAAGAATCCTAAAACATCAATATCAAAGAACCTATGCACCACAATGTTCATAGCAGCACAATTTACAATAGCCAAGAGTTGGAAGCAACCTAGGTGCCCATCAGTAAACGAATGGATCAAAAAATTGTGGTACATATACACAATGGAATTCTATGCAGCAGAGAAAGAAGGAGCTACTACTCTTTGCAACAACATGGATGGAACTGGAAAGCATTATGCTGAGTGAAATAGGCCAGGTGCTGAAAGACAAATACCATATGATCTCACCTTTAACAGGAAGCTAAACAACAAAACAAACAAGCAAGCAGGAAAAAAAAACAAAGACACTGAAATAGAGAACAAGGGGACAGTGACCAGAGGGGAGAAGGAGGGGAAGTTAAGGGGAAAAAGGGGGAGGGATTTGGAGGAACAAATAGGAAGGACACAGGGATGAGAACTAAGGGGGGTGGAAATGGGAGGGAGGTGGGGAGCAAGGGGCGGGGGAGGCTTGGATGGGAGAAATAGACAAAAAACTGTACTTGAAAAATAACTAAATAAAATTAATTAAAAAAAATTAAAAGCAAAATTGTTTACACAGGTAGATAGATAGGGCCAGGTAAATGAGATTATATTTATGCCTAATTAAAAACTTCCCATGGATTTTCAGGGTTGTCTATTTATTCTTGGCTGGCTCTACACACCCCAAATATATTCTATATTCTCCTAACAAATCACATTTTTAATAAAGGACTTCCCTTGAGAAAATAGTACATTCTATTTTTTTATACACAGTTAGTGATTTCTTATCAGTAGAAGATTTTTTCAGAAATATGGAAACCACAGATATCACTAATAATGCTTGTAATTTTTTAGAGAAATTTGTTAGTGCTAAAAAGTGTGATAATTATAAAATATATACATATCTTTATAAAATACTAATGTCTATATGGCTGCAATTCTATGTAGAACCAAACAAAAATACTAGGAAACACATCATAATTTATTAAACATATAATAAATTATGTTAGACCCCACAGATTATGAAAAGACTCACGTTTCCCAGTGACCACGATTCCCTCTCTGAGGGTTTTGGTTCTTGACTGAGTATAGATGTAAGAGCAGAAATTCTTTGTTTGTTCCTGGAATTTAGGATCCAGTTCATTTTCTGGAACATTCTCAATATTGGCTAGAAGTTCTTTGTCCTTTGTTGGCTGATCAAAGACAAAGCACTTCCGTTTTAGAAAGAAATGCCGGATACACTTTCTGGGAAGATTGGCTATTTGCACTTTGGGATTTCTTCCTGAGGGTAAAAAGACCAGAGATTATAGTAGGAACAGTCCCAGAGCAAGAAACCTGTAACTGCTGAAACCTTGTTTTCCAAAATGCAGCCTTTTGTTTTGATTTTTTTCCTCTTTGACTCAAAATGGCCTCCCCCATTATCCCAATTCATTCACCTCCCTTTCCCTTACTCAATCATTAATCCCTCAGGACAATGAGGTTCTGGTCATTATCTGGTAGTATTAGGAACAAAGTCCTGGCTCTATTGACTGTAGATGCAGAGTTCTCAATCAAACTAAAGACAAAATCTTGACCTCAGTTGTGCTTTACTCCAGACCTAAGAAAGTGGAAGGACCCCACAGAACAAATCCTGGTTTAGTTGGACAGATCAACTTCACAGCCAACATCAGGACCAGATGCAATGATGAATTACACCCTAATCCAGCTAGCACCAACCAGTCAGTAGAGACCACAATCCTAACTTTAGCCACCATGACAATGAATTTTTTCCCTATGTAACCCATTCACTAGAAGCCATCAGGGAGCCACGTCTTTGAGTATGAGCTACTTATGTCTCTGGGCATGACACTATCTTCTTAATAAATCTCTACTTTCCTAGTGATAAACTTCTGTTTGTGTCTCATTAGGCTTTGATGCATGCAGGTAGATGGACCCATTCTTCCTGGGAACAAACCTCAAGATGACAGGGGTTTTTGTACCTTCATCATCTTCTATGTTTATAACTCTGTTAGCATAAACATACAATGCTTCTCTGAATATCAAACTTATACCAATGATACAAATCTGGTAGAAATTTGGGGAGAGATCTAACCGAGCTAAAAAATTAAAAGTATATGGCTAATTTCTGCAGCCTTGAACACGATAATTTGCTATCACATATTTATTGAATAAATGACTAACGGAATAAAAGGTGGAACATAAAGTTTTGTTCTACTTGATCCCATGTGGAAATTGAGCTGTGGGGCCAGAACAAAGAGCCACAAACAAGGAATAATGGAACAATATTAGAAACAACACCTTGATTATTTGAGGAACACTGTTTTGATGCAAAAAATAATGTGTACAGGATTAGCTTTTTTTTTTAAGCAAAAACTTCTGAAAGGTAAGTACATCTAAAATGTCACTTTAAGATGTCACCACTAATCTCTAAGCTCTTTAAGTAAAGACTATATTTAATTTGAAGGTGATCTTTTGTCCAGCCAGTTTCTCACTGAGTGTTTTGGGAAAGCAAAAATGGAAATGTGAAGATAAGAATGAATGAATCAGAACTGATATTTCTTTCAAGGTTTCATCAGATACATATCTGGGTAAAGGAAAGCAATTAAAATACATGATTGTTTTGAAATTATAGCATGGGTGAAAATGTTGAAATCAATAGAAATCTATGGTACAGGAAATGAAATGAATGTTTTGATAATTATTAGAAATAATGCAAATGCATTGATCAAAAAGATATATACTTCTTCAGGTTCATTTAAAACATAAAGTGATGTTTGTAGATGACTTAGCTATATAGTCAATAAAAAGAAGTATCCCTATTTCAAAAGAAAAAAATATGTAATTGTTTGAAAGATGGTTTTTGCTGGATAGGCTTTTTGACTTCTTCCATGATTGTATTGTTGACCCATTTGTTGCTCTCCTTGGTCAAATATTAATTGACCATATAAATGTGGGTTTATTTCTGGGCTCTGCATCCTGTTCCATTGATCCAAATGTCTGTTTGTGTTTTTTTTTTGTCAGTACCATGTTGCTTAGATTACTATGGACTTGCAGTATAGTTTGATATTAGATATTGTTCTTCCTCCATACTGTGAGGCTATTTAAGGTATTTTGAGGATCTGTATAAATTTTTGGAATATTTGTTCTAGTTCTGTGAGGCGTGCCATTTGTATTTCCAAAAATATTTAATTAAACCTACAGATTGCATTGGGTAGTATGGACATTTTAATTATATTAATTCTTCCTATTTATGAGCAAGGTATAAGATTCCATTTATTTGTATATTCTTGAATCTTTCTTCAGTGCCTCTATATCATTTCTATCCACTGTAATCTTTATTTTTTAATTTAATTTATTGAGGTGAAATTGGTTTGCAAAACCACGTAGGTCTCAGGTGTAAAACCCAATAAAACATCATCTTCCTGCTGCATCATGCACACATCACCCCAAGCAAAGTATTTTTCCATCCCCATTGTCCCACCTATTCCCTACCTGTCTTTCCCTCTGGCTATCAACACACTGTTGTTTGTGTCTATGTGAGGTGTGACCCCATCATTACCACTGTGCTGAGAGATTTTATCATAAATCAGTGCTAGATTTTATCAACTGCATTTTCTGCATCTATTGATATAATCATGTGATTTTTACCCTTCATTTTTATGTGGTATATCACATTTTTTGCAAATATTATAACAACCTTGCATTCTCAGGATAAATCCCACTTGATCATGTTATATGATATTGTTCATGTATTGCTGGGTCCAGTTTGCTAATATTTTGTTGAGGATTTCTATGTTCATCAGAAATATTGGCCCAAAATTTTCTTTCTTTGTTGTATATTTATTTGGCTTTAGAATTAAAATAATACTGGACTCATGAGAAGCACTTGGAAATCATTTTTTCTCTTAAATTTTTTTATAATAGTTTGAAAAGAATAGCTGTTAGTTGTTTTTTTTTTAATGTTTGGTAGCATTCTCCTGGATAGCCATCTGGTCTGGGTCTTTTGTTAGCTGGGAGTATTTTTATTGCTGCTTTGATTTCATTAGTTATAATTGGTCTATTCAGGTTTTCCAATTTTCCTGACTTGGTTTTGGAAGATTGTATGTTCCTAGGAAGATTTCCATTTCACCCAGGTTGTCCAATTCATTGGCATATAATTATTCATAATATTTTCATATAATCATTTATATTCCTATGGTGTCATTTGTCACTTCTCTTCCTTAATTTCTAATTTTAATTTTTAGGTCTTCTTTTTTTTTTGATAAGTCTAGTTAAAAAGGTTCATCGATCTTGTTTATCTTTTTCAAAGAACCAGCTCTTGATATTACTGATATTTGTTTGTCTCTGTGACATTTATTTCCACTGTAGTCTTTATTATTTCCTTCTTTTTACTTACTCTAGGCTTTGTTTATTGTTCTTCTCTAATCTTTATTATTTCCTTCCTGCTCATCACTTTGGAATCTATTTGTTGTTCTTGGTATAAGGTCAGATTGTGTACTTGAGATTTCTCTTGCTTTTTAAGGTAGGCTTGTATTGTCATGAATTTCTTTTTCAGAGCTGCTTTTCAGTGTCTTATAAATTTCTGGTTATTGAAGAGAGAGGGTGGAACCAAGGGAGGGAAGTGGGCTTGGCTGGAGTAGGGGGTGGTAGGGAGAAAATGCAGATAACTATAATTGAACAATTATAAAGTAATTAAAAGAATTTTTTGGTTATTGTATGTTCACTTTTATTTGTCTCAAGGTAACTTTTGATTTCTTCTCTGATTGTATTGTTGATCCATTTATTGTTCAGTAACATGTTCTTTAGCTTCAATATGTGTTTGTGTATTTCAGATTTTATCTTGTACTTGATTTCTAGTCTCATATCATTGTGGTGGGAGAAAACAATTGATATGATTTCAATCTTCTTAAAATTACCCAGACTTGTTTTGCTTCCAAAAATGAAATTCACCCTAGAAAATCTATCCATCGATGTCAATTGGGTGTTAAAATCCCCTACCATGACTGACTGTATTATGGTTCATCTCTTCATTTATGTCCATCAAAATTTGCTTTATACATTCAGGTGCTACTATGTTGGTATATAAATGTTTACTAGGCTTATATCCTCTTGTTGGGTTGATTTGCTTATCATTATGTAATGTTCTTCTTTATTTTTATTATATAGTGTCTACTTTATGTGAACTGAAACTCCAGTTCATAGAGCTTTTCAGCTCACCTCCCAGGCACCATTTCTACAGATTTCATCTAGTTTAAAACACAAGTGCAACTCCAGAGATGACAGTGTTTTAGTACCTCCCACCTTGTATTGCGCTGTCTACTGCCTAGTCATGCTCTCTCACCTGGAATCAGCTTCAAGGCATTCTCCAGGTACTCATCTTCTGTGACAGGGTGACCATTTAACTTCAGCTCCAGGGTGAAATCCCGTATGGTCCAGACAAAGTCTGGAAAGAAACTCACAAACTCCATGGAATCATCTCCTCCATCTGGTGTAGGGGAGGACTTTGCCCTGATGAGTTCTGTCAGCTCTGTCACATAACTAGGACCTGGTTAAGGAAAAGAAACTTCCTACCCAGAATTCCCACATTTCTCTAAAAGAAAAAATATATGGTAAAACTCTCTGGCTCTGGTTCCTTCTGGTCCACCAAAGGCAACTAAGTGAAAGGGAAGGAGAAGCTGATGGATCTCCATCCCCCAGACCCCGGGACCCATGGTGGAGTGGTCCCTGGAAGGATACTGCAGCTCCTCCAGGGCCTGGTGGTTGATGGTGCCCATGCTGTTGTAGACGAACACGCTGCTCAGAAGCACAGCCAGGGCAAAGATCCACGAGTCATTCTTAGGGTCACCCTAGGAAGCATATTAGGGCAAGACATTTCAGAGTTTACCATGTAAAAAAAAAAGAGTTTACCATGTAGAAATTTGTTCAGACACTAAGTCTATCAGCCTTCCATTTTTATTTCAGCTAATGCACTAAGCATGCAAAGAAGTAAGTTTAAAGACAGGGATAAATACCCATATTAGCTTTGACTAATTCAATTAAATTTCTTGTCACTGTGATTTTTCACATATAAAAGAATTCTATCTTTACAGGGCTTTCATTTTATCCAATTGAATGTCAAAAATAATTTATAGAAAAACTAGTATGGTTCCTGGTGTGCAATTAGGAATTCAATGTTAGATGTTAGCACATATTCATTCTCCATATGTTTGTTCATCATAGGCCATATAAAATTCACCATAGCTGGCACGACCAAGGATTCAACTTATATGCAATTAAATTCAACAAATGTTTGTAGGAGCTATTGAGTGTTTCCCACTGTGCTTAATTTCTAAAGGCAATGTTTAAAATGATGTTACTTTGAAGATGATTCCTTTAAGGCAGTGACAAACATTATATTGAATACAACAATGATGAAAATATTTATAAGAGGCCTACATCTTAGTAATGCATATAAGCAGTGGATCCTATAGCTATAATATTAATTAAAAGTTTAGATATTTATCAAGAAAAAAACAGAGCTATAAACATTGGGATAAAAATTACATATTATAAAGTTTTACTCAAAGTCTTAGTTGAGTGTGAAAGAATTGGTAGCATGTAGACTTGAAAAAATGAAGGTAATCCTGGAAGTAGAGGGACTCACAGAAGTGAAATTAGAAATCGTCAAATACACAGGTCTTTGGAATAAAATTATAGTTATTTGATTTGATTGGAGCAAAGGGTAGGTCAAGAAATTAAGGCAAATAGTGAACCTGGTACAGCCAGAGGAATGGCCTTAATGTCCATGACAATTTATTTGTATGGATTATAGCCAGCTGTGTCTCAATAATGATCTGATCAAGACATTATTTATCTTATGAACAATGTCAAGCCATTCCCTAGAGAAACTATATAAACTGGGACATATACCTAGGAGACTCAATATGAGAGTTTGGGGTGGCTGGGGGCAGCAGGGGGATAGCTACTTAATTTATTTATCTCCCTGACCTCAATTTTTTACAGTAATCATGTAAGATAAGAAGAAATAGCACTTACAACAAACAATAAATTACTTAGATAGCAAGATTATACCATTCTTTGATATGTAGATTTTAAAATAAATACAGAATTTTCAACTCTTCTTTGGATAGAAATAGAGTGTCATGCAAACTTACGTACTATTCCCAAATAAGGCTCCAAGTAAGGCAGAAAAGAAGAAATCATTCATCTCACCCACTCACAGAAAATTTAAATATTATTTAAAAAACAACTTTTAATGATGTTGTGGGACAAACATGTATTTATTTAGAATCACTGCCTTCAGAGATGTCTCAAAACCTTACAGAATGATCTATGAGTACTTAATGAACCTCACCATAGGGTTGTAGAGTCTTTGAGGGCATGGCCTTTACTTTGGACACTAATATCTGCAGTACTAATCCAGATGCTGGGGAATTATGTGCTCAGAACTGTATATTAAACTGAATAGAACCAGAAATTAAAAAGGCTTACTCACTCTACCATGACCACTTACTGGGAAGAGAGGATCTAATAAGCCAAAATTTGCCTTATATATGTAGTTAGATTTCTAGATTTCAAAATAAATCACAGCTGTGAAATTATAAAGAATCATAAAACATTAAGGAGAAAATTCAGATTTAAAATACTTTTACTGAGACTCTCTGCCTTACCTTTTCCACATCACCCAAGCCCTCAGTGTCCAGAAGGACCAGAGTGTGGTTAGGCTTGGAGGGGTGGGGCACACACCACATCCAGATGCCCTTGGTTTCAGACTGTACTGTAGAGCCCAGAGGGAAACCTGCAATGGATGCATGAAAAGCAACATAAAATGAAAGCAGAAAATCTAAGAAGCCAAAGGCTACAAAGTCAGATTTGTTGGAATGTAAGTACCCCAGAATTCATTCTCTACTTCATAAAAATGCCCTACTGTGTGTGTCATTTATTCCCAGTAGAACGGAGTATAAAGTGTAAGAATAATGCGAAGTAAGGACTCAATATGGAGGAAAAGAGGCATCACTGAACCACAAATAATGAAGGTAACTGATTGACTATGACAATATTTTGAAAGACTGCTAAAATTCAAAGCCAAATGCAAGTGAATTAAAGAGAAACCTGGGAATAGAATAAATGGGAAAAATTAAACTAATATTTTTTGCCAGACAAAGTGATAAAAAAAAAGTGTAGGGGATTGGTAGCCTCAATAGTATATAAATTCTTGAAGAATTTTTGAGATAATAGGTATTCAAACATTTTTATATGTTGATGAAAATATTTCATAAAGAAAGCAAAATATGTTATAAGAGAGAAAAAGGAGACACAATTGAAAGGGTACAGTGTTTGAGTACATTACACAGATGATGTTTTATAGAATTGTACATGTGAAACCTATGTAATTTTATTAACCAATGCCGCCCCCAATAAATTCGATTTTAAAAATAAAAAAAGTACAGTGCTCAAACAAGTAATAAATTTAAAAAGTAAAACATTACAAGTAAAAAGGGTAGAATCTACGCATTAGTATGGTAAATTTTCCTTAACAGAATAAAATAAAGAATATGGTAACAGAATACAATAAGATAATAATTTAATGGTAAGAATTAGAAATAGAAGACTGTTTTACTGAGAGGAGTTTAGTTACCCATGTAACCAGGGAAGAAAACTAATAAGCTGTGCACCCCAGCTTTTGACTCTGATACAGAGTAAAAAAAAATGTCCTCAAGAACCTGTGCACCCCAATGTTCTAGCACCACAATTTACAATAGCCAAGTGCTGGAAGCAACCTAGGTGTCCATCAGTAAACGAATGGGTCAAAAAACTCTGGTAAATTTACAGGATGGAATACTATGCAGCAGAAAGAAAGTAGGAGCTCCTACCCTTTACAACAGCATGGCTGGAACTGGAGAGCATTATGCTGAGTGAAATAAGCCAGGTGGTAAAAGACAAATACCACATGATCTCACCTTTAACTGGAACATAATCAACAAGAGAAAAAAGCAAGCAAAGTATAACCAGAGACACTGAAAGTAAGAACTATCTGACAGTAACCAGAGGGGAGGTGGGAGGGAATAATGGGGTGAAGAGTTTTCAGGAACTACTATAAAGGAAACGTGGACAAAACCAAGGGGCAGGATGGAAGCAAGGAAGAAAGGGGGATTTGTTTAAGGTGGGGGTGGAGCAGTGGGAGGAAAATGCAGACAACTGTAAAATAAAAAAAAAAAATTTAAAAACTCCACTGCCCGAGGACAGCACTCACCATGGTTCTGGCCTGCAAGACAGTTCATCAAGTAGGATTTGCCTGTGCGATACAGTCCCACAATGGCCACGACCACCACTGGCTGAGAAATCTGGTCAAGAATCTGTAGAGCTTCCTGATTCACTGAGAGCCGCTCACTGATGTTTTCCACCAGACAAATGGGGGCTGTCATGTTGGATCCAGATGCCATGGCAACCTGCCAACCTGGAAGAACATCCCAGTTGAAAAAAGATTATACTGTTACTCTCCATGCAGTGTTTATACAAAGCATCCATCGCCTTAGGCTGTGTGTGTTTTCTGCTTTGTTTCTGTCACAGTAAGCATCAGCTAAGCCCCACAATGAAAGATTCATTGATTTTTGGTTCTGCCCTCACAGTGACTCTCTGCAAGGGCCAAACTGCTCCCAATGCCGTGAGGATCTCAGATTGAATGTTATTGTTGGCACTGGGCAGCCAGTTCTTATAAAGCACTAGAGTGGCCCTACCCAATGTGAGGGTCATCCTCACTGAGAAGCAGGCCATCACCTCATGGGAACATCCTCTCATCACACTTAAGACTTAACCAGCTGCAAAGGAGGCAACGAGGCTGATGCTGAGGGAGGACCTGGCTCTAGGATGACCTAATCCTGCACCCTCTGTGTACCATTAAAAATATCTATGTGAAAATATTAAGCGGGTCTGCATAATTCCTGAACATGTCTACCATAGGACTTTGTTAGGAAGAAGAAAGTACCACTTTTCCAGGGAGTGCTGTGCTGGTCCTTCCCAATTTTCAGAACATATCAAGAATGAAGCTGAATTGAGAGGTGTCCTAATCAAGTTTTGAGCTGAGTAGTGGTTAACAGCCTAGTCCAGGGACAGCATACTTATTTCCCAACTTTTAAGGATGAGACTAGGACTGGAAATGAGGCCACAGTCTTTATGCAGACCATTCGTGTCTGGCCTTTCTGTCTTTCTTTCTTTGTCCGATAAATAAAGGCAATCCAGAGCTCCCTGAGCCAAGTCTGCTCTTGTTTAAAAAATAAATGATATTAAAAATTAAAAATTTTAAACTGTGTAGGTGATTAATCTAATGTAGAGTCACGATTGAGAGCCATAAGTCCATCATAATGTACACTATAATGAGGAATATTAAGCTCATGGATGAAGAAACTGCTTCCATTGCCCCTATCACACCCCATTAAAGAGCCAGGAGACAACCCTAATCTTTCATCTCTCCATGCGCCCACCTTTTCCACTCCACTTGCAGCTGTCCTGGCTGTGTGACATGCTGTGAGGCTGTCACCTCACAGCTACCTCTGCTCCAAATGGAGGAGCTGGTCTTTCCCAGAACTAAAGCCACAACTGAAGCCTGCAGCCCAGGCAACGAGGCTACAGGTGCCCTCACCACTCCATTCCTCAGAGACCATGTTGACTCAGAAGTTGAGGGGTTTAAGCTCAAGACCAAGCTGCAGGCAAAAGAAAGTTGATACGTCAGCATTTCTGCCAGGTCAGTGTGTCCAAGCAGTTGTTTCCCACCCTGCTTGCTCCCTTTCCTGCTCCCACTTTCCTGTTGCTAGTGTATGGAAATGAAAACAAACTGAGAAATACTGCG